CTCCCATGCCCACCCACTGTCTGCCGGTCCTGCGCAGCCCTCGGTTCTCCTGCGTAGCCTGGTGTTGTCCTGCGCAGTCTAGTGTTCACCTGCGCAGCCCCGTGTTCTCCTGGGTCAACATTAGCATTGTTCCAGTTAGAGATTCAGGTCCAGTCTTGTTAGACCAGGGGGATAGCGGGTCCGGTGGTTCAGGTCCACAGGTCTGTGTGTGTGTGTCCTGTGATGGACTGGTGTCCTGTCCAGGGTGTGTGTGAATGTCCTGTGATGGACTGGTGTCCTGTGCAGGGTGTGTCTATGTGTGTGTCCTGTGATGGACTGGTGTCCTGTCCTGGGTGTGTGTGTGTGACCAGTGATGGACTGGTGTCCTGTGCAGGGTGTGTCTCTGTGTGTCCAGTGATGGACTGATGTCCTGTCCAGGGTGTGTGTGTGTGTCCTGTGATGGACCAGTGTCCTATGCAGGGTGTGTCTGTGTGTGTGTCCAGTGATGGACTGGTGTCCTGTGCAGGGTGTGTCTGTGTGTGTCCAGTGATGGACTGGTGTCCTGTGCAGGGTGTGTCTCTGTGTGTGTCCAGTGATTGACTGGTGTCCTGTCCAGGGTGTGTGTGTGTCCTGTGATGGACTGGTGTCCTGTCCAGGGTGTGTGTGTGTCCTGTGATGGACTGGTGTCCTGTCCAGGGTGTGTGTGTGTGTCCTGTGATGGACTGGTGTCCTGTCCAGGGTGTGTGTGTGTGTCCTGTGATGGACTGGTGTCCTGTCCAGGATGTAATCCGCCTTGCGCCAGTGTCTTGCTGGGATAGATTATTTCACAATCCACTACAATTAAGGTGACCTGGTCTTGCTCTTACTCAATCAGCATGGGGAGTCCAGAATTCAAAACCCTCAGAATCACAACGGGCCTCTCTCAACATCAATTACAGCCGGACTCCATCAGCTGCTAACCGCCAAACGACTTGCAGCTGCTAATTACAGTGCCTTCAGAAAGTATTCACCCCCTTGAATTTCTTCTCATTTCGTTCCTGTTACACCTCCCAGATTTTAGCACGTTGAAATATTTTTTCTCCCTTTTAATAACACAATACATTAAACACATTTATGAACCCAAAAATATATTTTTTATTCAGGAACACTCGTTTCTCCAGAATGAAAGACTGACATATCTCATTTATAAAAGTGTTCAACCCCCCCAGTCAATACGCTTTGCACATTCAGATTGGGGCATTTTTGCCCATTCTTTGCTGCAAATTTGCTCCAACTCTGACAAATTCGATGGAGATCGTCGGTGGACAGCGATTCTCAGGTCATCCCACAGATTTCCCAGTTGGATTCAAGTCTGGGCTCTGACTGGGCCATTCCAGAACACTAACCTTCGTTTTTCCCCCCAAGCCATTCCTTGATAGTTTTTGCCTTGTGCTTTGGGTCATCGTCCTGTTGGATTCTAACAGGCTGAATGAGCTCATCAGAGGAGCCAGCTCTGTCACTGGGTCTGGCCTGGACCCCCTGGAGGAAGTGGCTGAGAGGAGAATGGTGTCCAAACTAGAGGCCATCATGGACAACGTCTCCCATCCCCTCTACGACAGGCTTGTGAGAATGAAGAGCACCTTCAGCAATAGACTGATCCATCCCCGGTGCGACAGGGAGCGCTACAGGAGGTCATTCTTTTGTGCAATATACGCCAGGGACCTGTGCAATACATTAATATTTATAGTCATATTGTGCAATACGACTTTTTTGTGCACTGTTCTGGTCTGGTCTGGCCTGTCCGTGGTCTGGACTGGAAGGAAAGCAACTCAGCGCACTGCACAGCGCACTGAACGGATTGTATTGTATTATTATTGTATCATTTGTAACACTGTGACTGTGTTGACTGTGTTAAGCTGCTGTTGCACTGCAATTTCCCTCACGGGATCAATAATGGATCCATCTATCTAAAACGAATCTTCGCCCTAAACGCAGATCTCTGGCTGACTGAAACAGGTTCTCCTCAAGGACTTGCCTTTATTTGGCTCCATCCATGCTGCCCTTGACGTCAACAAGCTTTCCAGTTCCTCCTGCTGAAAAGCAGCCCCAGAGCACGATGCTGCCACCACCATGCTTGACGGTAGGGATGGCGATACCTGGGTGTTGGGCTGTACCTGGTTTGCGCCAAACACAGCGCTTTGCTTCCAGGCCAAAGAGCTCAGCTTTAGTCTCATCTGACCACTGACGTTTCTTCTGAAAGGTTTCAGGTTTTGTCACAGGGCTTCTAGCAAACCCCAGGCGTGACTTAATGTTGGCCTCTCTCAGAGCTGGCTTCCCTCTAGCCACTCTCCCAAAGAGGCCGAATCTGGGAAGTGCTGAAGACA